GGAATTTGGTACTAAGTACGGTGCGGATAACACAGTGGTAGTGGTTTCCATCATTACGATCATGGTGCTAGTTCTATTCCGCTTCGTGCCAACCAAGCCTCTCCCACCGGGGTCGGGAAATTTTTATGGCACTTGTCTGGGAAAAAAATCACTCTTTTCAATCCAATTGGGAACGCTGCAGCTAGGCTATCTCAGGACTCCAGGGAGAATTGCTCGACCAGCAACTGACGACACACGTAAAGTTGGAAGATCTTTGTGGACAGTGGATGCGAGGAAGCGAAATGAATGTAGGAAATGCTGAGATTTGCACAATAGATACAAGTTAAATAAAATAAGAAAGAGCGTACAATGCGCATATGCATGTGCCTATATGCATGCCATGTATATATATATATATATATATATATATATATACATATATACATATATATATATATATGTACTCTTACGCTTAAACGCTTTTACTACTTACATTTTGTGTATCTACGTCACTTTTAGATCCGATCATTACCTGATTATGAGGAAACTAATGCAAAAGTGTTTTTTATTTGTTGTAGTTACGAAAACGCTTTAAATTATTTAGAGCTTCTGAAACTAATGCCGGTGGCGCTACCGTACTTTCTCGTAAAGGGCTGTTTGGAAAATCCGGAGTTGTGGTACGTGGTGTAGTATTTGTGTAGCATTGTGTAGTATTGCTTTGTAAAATTATAAGGTTTCTAGAGCGAAACATTTGACACAAGCGCTGCCGTAGAACAGGAACCAGTATTTTTAACTCATGACACACCTAACAGAAATAAAGAACGTGAGTAGAATTTCTCCATCCTGTTTGCAACTGTTTGCCGCAGACTGGCTGAAAGTCTTCTTCTATCCATTCTTTTGACTATATGTGTGATAGAATTGCATTTCAGCTGAGGTGTCATCATCGAGCTCTAACGTTCCAGAGGTATCCAGCATTAATCATGAAACCGAAGCACTTGAAGAGCAATCGAAACAATGTGGAGATGAAGAAGCAGCGGATGAAGTACATGTTGGTAGAATTATTTTCCATGTTTGTGTTGCAGTGTGTAAATTATGTATTGTACGAAGACATCAATAAATCTCTAGGAGGATGCTGAACGTAAGGTAGCTGATGCTCCTTTTATCAAGGAGTCTGGCGATCCTGATTGCAAAGGAGACGATAAATTGAACATGGGATCGGATACTCAAGGTGATTGAGGTCTTTCTAATGGCACTTGTTGTTTATCACATTTCCATTTTAGGTGAACCTTTGGGCGAAAAGGTGCTAGAGAAAGATACTGTGGAAAATCCTGAAGAAATGCACGATTCTAGCCACCAAAGTAACGACGATGCTAAAAATGTCGATGGCATGGATAGAAGTTTACCATGTGATATAACATCATCTGGGTCACCCAAAGACACACCATCACCTCATTCATCTGATGGCATAGCATCGTCTGGTTCAGCCCATAATGTGCCATCACCAGATTCACCTGATGACACTCCATCATCTGCTCAGAATGACGTAGACGTGCCAAACACAACGGAGGAAATTTGTGTAAAGAAAATAATTTCAATGGATACAGATAATGCGGAGAAGGTTTGTTTGTCATTACTTCGGCAGTTGCAGTGTATTAACTTCACTAGTCAGAAACGAGAGCAAAATTTACGCATTTTCGCTAGCGGTTTGCAGATTTTCTTGTACATGTAGCATAGAATACTGAAATTCTGGCCGTGAAATCTTCTATAACATTTTCAGCAATGCTATGGTTATTGTTTTACCCCTTGAAAGTGGTTGTTGAGGTCTCTGGAGAGCTGTTGGTTGGCGAAAAGTGTGCAATTAGTTCAATTTGTGACGCGCTAGTTGTGTGACATGTGCTCGATTGTTGTCATGCTGTCGGATAGTGCCTTTTCTGTTGACTGACATTTGATACATGTGCTAAGAATTTTGATGCATTCCTTTGGTTTCATGGCAGTACTTATCTGTTGTGGTCGTTTCGCCAGGGTTCAGAATGTTATATTTCAGTCCAGCTGCAAACCAATAGCTTTACAATGTTGAGAAAACAGTCTTGCTTGGCTAATGCCTGGCACAGTATCTGTGGTATGGAACTAGTTCAATACAAAAAGTATAACAAGGTTTTGTGTGGAAAAGTGAGTAAAGAATGGGAAAGAAAATGAGTGGAAATCGTTTCATATCGGCCGCCATTTCGGATCAACTTACGGAGTTGCATACGTGTTAGTAAAGGGTAGCTTTTATCAAATCTGAACATCGTTTTAAGGATTATTGAGTTTAGTTTCTTACCTGCTTCATGCTTCATGGTTTAGCTGTCTTTATTTGTAGCTGGTCATTCAACATTAACAGTATTTACCGAATTTGTTTTGACGCGCTTGCGGAAATAACTCATTTCGAAAACATGCAGAAATTAGCATAGATCACTTGCATTTCTATCGATGTATAGGGAATTGTATTAGTTATTTCATTTAAAATTCAAAAAAATTGCTTACTATTTTGGTTGAAGCTGCTACATCGTTCGGAATACTGTTTGTACTCTTGCGTGTTGTCGCTATTACTTGAGGATTCGTTATTACAAACATGCAAAACCGTCATCGACTTCATGCGATTTCGCTCTTTTCCACTTCGTTTCTTTACACATGTAGCGCAGTTATCGGTGACACCCTGCAATACTCAAGGGATCGATGCCCTCGCCCCGATCCGCCAAGCCTTCCATTCCTCCGGAGTCGGCAAATTGGTACCAGGCTTGTCTGAGAGGATAGCAGTACTGGCTCGATACATCGGTAGGCCATCGTGAGTCATTGTAAAGGCCAGATATGCATTCGATCACCTACAAACGATACTTAATGAATTCGAATGCATGGTGCATCCCTCAGGGATTGATCATCGCCGAGAGTTTTATCCTTTTTCATCCCATTATGCAAGTGGCGTCCGTTATCTTTTTATTCAAGATTTATGACTTATGTTAATCAATGTATATACTACTGGACGTCATCCATGTAATTTTTGCCTCAGAATAAACTCTTTAACTTTCGTCAAATGATCAGCATCCGTAATGAAACATGCTTCTTAGAAAACCCGACGCACCCCTTTCATGCTTTTTAGTGGGTAGGACAGTGCAGGGTTTTAGCCACTGTTGGCACCTTATCTTTTCCTAACATTGGAAATAGCGTTCCCTTACCTTTGTAAGTGTTGTGTATCTTTGTCCTATAGGAACGATGCGGCGCATCATCACCATCTTCTGATGTACAAGTGGAGCAGAAAGACGTTGGTGATGTGAAAGCCACGGCAGTTATTCCCGAAAACAGTGCAGAAGATGAACGAATGGATGACAGTTTGCTTGTTGAGGACCTGTCTGTTGAAAGTAATCCATCAGGAGATGTGTTGCAGTGAGTTTTTTTTTCAACCTACCGTAGAGCTAGTCAAGTGTAAAGATAGTTAATCACCAATGTTAGTAAATTCCAAATATTATTTGCCATATATTCCATATTGTGCTGGAACTGTTTACTACTTTTGAAATTCTTAAGGTGGTCCAATAATGCAATGACGTCATTTGCGAACGTGTTTTTTAAGGACAGACGTACTTGATATTTGATACTTGAATTGCCCGTCCTCACCGGCTGCGCGGGCTCCAGCACAATCCCCACTCTTCGGAGATTTGCTGGTTAAGCCATTATGGTTCCCTGGTGTCCCGAGGTCAACCTGGCCAAAGTCTGCCCCAAAGGACAGACGTAGTGAATCAAAATCTTTGTATTGAGTTAGTGAAGTTTATAGCGACCATATCGAGCCCAAAGGGAGATCATTCTGTCATTCAAATATTTTAGAGTTTAGTAGCGTTCGAATCAAGCTCTGTAGGGTCGTTTTTTTCTACTGTGAAGTGTGTTGCTTATCCCATCTTATTCTAGTGAATATTGTTCGATTTCTGAGGAACGAGATTTGGAAATGCAAGACATTGAGAATGATGGTAGTAATCAAATTGATGAGGAGAGTACTACTCAGTTAGTTTCTTTTCTTTTTGCTATATGGGGTCATTATCCCAGCTGTTGCTGTGTAGTCATGCCTTCTCATGCGTTGTTTAGAAAGGACGTTATGGATAATACAAGTTATCAAAGTGTTACGAAAACAAAAATGGAAATGCTGAAACGGTGAGTACCAGTTCTGAATATTGACATACTTTGTCTTAGTGCTGTGCATAGTACTTATGTGTTTGCATTAAGAGACGACGCTTTGGATGAATTAAGTGATCAGAATCAGAATGCTATGAAAATGGAGAGCGAAACGCCGAAAGAGTAGGTTTTAACACTGAGTTATTCGCTGAGTCTTACTGCTGCAGATATTGTGACATATGTTTTCATTAAGAAAGGAGGCTGTGGATGAAGTAAGTGATCAAAATCAGAGTGTTGTGGAAACGGAAACCGAAATGCCGAATCCGTGAGTCTTTAATATTGAGCTGTTCACTGAGATTTACTGCTCTGCATGTTGTGACTTATGTGTTTTCATTAAGAAAGGAGGCTGTGGATGAAGTAAATGACCAGACTGTTGTGGAAACGAAAACCGAAGTACCTAAACGGTAACTTTTAATCCTTAATTCTTAATCTCACTTCTTCGTTATCTCAGCTTACAGTAGTGTCTTTGCTGCCCAACTAAATCGGAAGAGTACTATTCATTTTTGCAGTGTCGTACAGCGCTCGCTTACTGTTTAATTTTAGAAAAGGGTTTTGAATGACTGTACCAGAAAACTGCAACGAAACATTGAAAGACAGAAAATTTTATTATTGAATAATAAACCTTGACTGCGCGTGCTATTAGTTTTCTAATGCAATAAGCTTAATCTTAGCCCACTTGGTATAGCAACAGGATATTTGTTCTAATCTTCATTTCTTTCGGCCGAAGCAGTGTTCTTTTCGATACGGAGAACCCTCTGTTGCCGACTCCTTCTTTTCTATCGCTGTTTGCGACGTCCTTTATCAACTTTCTGAGCCAGATCCATTCAAATAAGGCGGTATTTTAGCTCGAATTTCTTAGCGTAGTCAAGAATTATAAATAAGCACGATTCCCTTCGTCTTCCTACCACCAATAGCCGAGTGGAAACTGAAAGGAATGACGACATCAAGAGTTGTCTTATACATCTTCGCTATTTTCTCCCCAATATCTGTCCTAGAGACGGTAGGACGTGCACTATGAAGAACTTCCGCAACCATTTGCTTCCTGGGAAGAAGGCGACTAGAGCGGACTTTTCTCGTCTTAATTCTGACAACGTCGCTCATCGTCTTGTAGCTTACACAGAACTCTCAAACGTGAGTAATTATTAGTTTAATTGGTTTTATTGGCTTAACTAGATAAGTACGAGGGCTGTGTGTAGGCTTCAGAACGATAGGCGACGTTGTCACAGTTAAGACTAAAGAAGTCCTCTCTAATCACCTTTCTTTTAGGAAACAAATGGTCCTGGAATCCACCCTGGATGTCCTGCTATTCCTAAGACAGCTCTATTAGGGAGAAGATAGCGAAGATGTTTAAGACAACCCCTGATGTCGTTATTCTTTTCGGTTTCCAGTCGGCTGTTGGTGGTGGGAAGACGAAGGGATTCGTGCTTTTTTTATGATACTCTTGACTACGCTAAGAAATTCGAGTTGAAATACCGCATTGTTCGCATGGGTCTAACTCAGAAAGTTGATAAAGGAGTTCGTAGGCAGCGAAAGGAATGAAGAAACCGACGAAAGAAAGTTCGCGGTATCAAGAAGGCCACTATTTCGCCTGGAAAGTAGATTGAAATGGCTTATTGTTGATCTGTTGTTGCCTTGACGTTGATAAGCTCATGGAATTCTTTCAATCTAGTTGAATTTATTTGGTTGCTGAGAATGGATTCAGTGGTTTGCTGGCGTCCTGAATTACTACCATGCTAAAATTTGTATTACAGCATCTGGTATGGCCATGGAAGCATTTTTAACATTTTCTGTAGTTAATCTTTAGTTTATACCACTGTATGTGAGCTGTTTTTGCTCGAACGAAGCAATAACTGTTAAAATAATGTATTAATTTATAACTACGCACGACGTGTTTGAACTGATTTTTTAAAGTGATTCAGATGCTCATTTTATGTAATAGGTTGAAGAGCAGCCCCATGCTATTGTTGAAGATTTTTTTCCAGACGTTCTTCAACTCGACATGTTGTTTCCACTATACAAGCTGGAAGTAAGACACCAGTTCGAGATGCGGTTTCAGTATGTACTTGTTGATTCCTAGATTCTTATTTTCTCGTTTGCCTCTCGCTCTTCTGTAATATCATTGCTTTCAGAGTAGGAAAACCAAGTCGTTGACAACCAGTAAAAAAAGGAAGGAGAAGAATGAATCTGCTTCTGAGGTGAAATGGTTTTCGATTTTCGACTTCCTGTTTTTACATAAACTTTCTAGGTAACTGAGTGTGTGGGTGACGGCGACAACTCATCAATTGTTGTTAACGAGGAAGAAGATGTACCTGACCAAAAATCGTTACGGTCTCGTAGTCGTCGTTTGAATGTTAAAGAATCAGTGAAGGTAGGAGATTTTCTTGTTTCATGGTTTTGTTTATTAATCTCCATTAATCTTTTGAATTTTTTAAAGAGCGAATCGTCCACGCCTTCTCCGCAGAAGAAAGGTAAGCGGAATATGAAGTTGAACTTCGGAATTCCGAACGAAAGCAGTGACAGTGGTCAAGAAGTTCATAGCGACGATACTAAGAAAAAAGGCGAAAGTTCGGATGGTGATTCCATCCGCCGTACGTTTCGTAGAAGGTCTGCAAAACAACTTTTAAAGTGAGTTCCTTTATCGGTTTTTGCAAAAATCACATGGAACATGTTCCACGAAAATTGAAGAGGCAGATTGTGGATAATACAGTGACAATTCAACAGTAGTAGGGAGGGGTTCTTGCGTGCTTGCACTGATAAGAGCAGCAGTTGTTTTATGACGATTGTAATATGTAGATGACAGTTTTTGCATTCAGAATTTGTATATTGTGTAACTGAAAGTGGCCACTAATTGTTAATGTCAATTGTACTAATTGCTGCATAGTCAAAGTTAGCTTCGAAGTTTCATATTGGAATGGCAGCGTTAAAAATGTGATGAGGAATGGTAAGGAAAGAAAAATCCATTGTAGCAACAATTCTTTATCAACCGGTTTTACAATAGGAATGAAGATGCGCCGAAGTCAAATGCCCATTCTGGCCGTTTTTCAAAGGATAGAAGCAAAATTAATGCTGAAAAAGAGTCCGTAGGAAGTGAAAGTGCTGATACTCCACGTAGAGGAAAAAAAGGTGGGGATGCTGACTAATATTTGGTATTTTTTCAATATTATTCATACTAGCGCTGTTTCACTATCAATTCTTGTAATTTCAGACGCCATAAAAAAGTCGGATAAATCTCCAAGGACCGTTCTCAAAAAAGAAAAAGGGGAGAAACAAAGAAGTCACGATCCATACGACATTGAGACTGAAATGGAAAAACATCCCGAGCCATTAAAGAACATACAAGTAATATGTCATACTATTGATAAAGGATAATCTAACAAAACGTGCATTTAGATGGAGGTTCAATCGTTCGGTGAAGTGAAATACGCAAAAGTTGGTTCTGGAAAATATGAACGGACAGAAAAGACTGCTGAATTGCGCGTTAGCAACCTAGCTGAAATGACGCCACGAACCAAGCAAAGGAAATCCCTTGCTGAGCTTACCCCGGGTAGAAAAAAGGTCAGCCCAGTCATGACTGCCAACAGTACAACACCTCAACCTCGGTGATTTACCAATCTTTATTTTCTTATGCTTTTTGTACACAGCTTATTGTGTGGTATTAACAGTTAACTTAACACAGGCGAAGCCGGAATTCAAAGCAGGACGCCGAAGAGGAGTCTATGGAGGTGGACAAACCCATAGTTCAAAACAGCTACCAAAAAAGAAAGACGGACACAACGACTTCAAAATCAGGATCTCGATCATCTGGAAAACGGCGGTTAGTGTCCTTTAACACTTCTTGTTTCTGGGTACCAAACAATTGACGATTTCAGAGCGTCACCTCAAACATCAACACCTTCATCTAAACGACCCCGTATTCAGCTACCTGAGTTGAGCGCTGAAGACCTACTAGCTGTTGATCATCCACGAGATGAACACGCTCCGTACGAACCTGGATCTCGTGTATACGCAATATTCGATGGACTATTTTATCCAGCCATAGTTATCAGGCAAATTGAGAAATGTTTCAAGTGTTATAGAGTTTTCATATTCACATCTCTTCTTTAGATTTAACTTAAAATACTTTGCAGTCGCGATGGTTTGGGACGTTTCAAAGTGAATTTCGTGGAAGACGATATTATTAAAGATATTCCTCCTTCTGGCGTTATCCCTTTACGTGCTCTTGATCGGGAGAAAGACGTAATCTTTATCTTTTATTGCTTAGTTGCTGCTACTAGTGTCTCAAATTAATATAGATTTATATTTCAGCGTATAGATTTATATTTCAGTGTTATTTCTCGGATTCGGACCAAAAAGATCGTGTGGCAGCAAGAGTTGTGTGTGCTCCCGATGCGAATTCTGCACTCGCTTGGTTGAAGGCAGAGTTTGAACTCGAACAGCTCAAAGATGAAGGCGAGCCATCAGGAAAGAAATTTAAGTGAGTTAAACGTGGCATCCTGTATTTGCCGTTTATGTCTTTTTCAAGGTTTTTGCTATTACATAGGTTTTCTTACTCAACGTAATTTGTTAGAATCAGGTAGGTGCAGTTTTTTCTTTTTACATGACTTTCGCTCTGTGGATCCCAGCACTTCTCACATTCGATTGGTTTCTTCGTATTTACCATTTACTAAGGTCTTCTTTACACATGACTTTTACTACTGCTTGAGGATTTTCCTTTCATCATGAATGTCTTTGAATACTGGTCAAGTCGATTCTCCGTGGAGTCCTGAGATAGCCAGGCTGGGGCGTTCCTAATTGGATTGCAGAGAGTGAATTTTCCTCAGACAAGTTCGGAACCAACTTCCTGACCCCGAAGGAATGAGAGACTTGGCGAGCCTGGAGCAGGGTCTAACTAGCACTGTTTGTGATGATCGGCATCGCTACCACTGTGCCACCTGCCGGCTAGGTGCAATTAGTAGTGAACTAATGTTGCTTTTCCTACCAACGTTAAAGTAAATATTTCTAGAGCGGCATGGACGAAGCTTGCACTATCGAAAGACGATTGGAGGGACTACATAAACAAAAAGTCACGCGAAGCGACAGATGTTATTGCTGGTACGACATTTGCGCTGGAATCTGTTTAGAATTGTTCAACAGAATTTTGGGTGCTATGTGTGAAGCTAGTGGAAATCACTGCTAAATCCTCATTTCTTTTAAGTTGTGATCTTTACAACTTGTGACCTGCGCCTGTGTCCTCTGCCTGTTACCCGAATAACCTGTAAATTTCTAGATAACATTGAAAACAATGAGGATAGGCAATTGCGGCGATCAAAAGCGACTTCTGCCTCCAGTGTTGCCGCTACAGCATCCCCCAAATCTCCAACGAAAGTGCAGAAGTCGACCGCGAAACCTGTATCATCTTCAAAAACCAAGTCTTCTTCAAAAAGTGCGTTTCTTTCTCAGACTTCGTGCGCTGTTAACATGTTATTTTGTTTAGGCTCTGTTCTCAAAAATGAAATCTCTGGTTCGCCTATTACCAAGTTAGGCGAGAAGTTAGATGGTTCGTTCATATTTTTAGTATGGCGAAGTTCTACTCATCGTAAAATGACGGTCTTTTTTTCCCGTAGTATACGGTTTTATAGTCAACATTTACAATTGTGTTAACACACAACGGACGATATGAGTTGATTTTACTCCTTAGCGCTGTTTACGAAAAATAGTCATCGTGCTATGTGTCCGTATTACTACGATATCTACAGTTTCGTTCAACTCAGTCATAGTTTTGTCTGAGAGTTGCGTCGAAATGCGTCGTCGATTACATCGCTACCATTATCGCCTACAATGCAACTTTTTTTTGTTTGCATTCAACTGTTTGTTATATCACATCTGTACATTGCGCGCTAGTTAAAAACATATTTTCTAAGTATTTGCAGAAGATTACATTGCCATTTACATAATTCGTTGAAACATTTAAGTTTCAGGTAAAAATATCAATGCACCTGGGACGGGTGACGAGCAAATATTCGCTGGAAAGCTGTTCATTTTGACATCAGCGAATCGCCCGAACACTGATACTGGATTTAAGAAAAAGTTCATGACAGATTTTATTTCTACTCATGGAGGGCTTGTTGTAGATGATATGAAAGTTGGTTTCGAAAGTTCAATTTAAAACTTTTGATAGATATCTTATGCCTATAGCGTAACGATTTTACTGTAGACTATTCTTTAAATAGCTATGAAAGCATTAAAGCCACCTTATGGCGAAAACGTTTTTGCACAGCTTTGGACGTTCAAATCACGTCTTTTCGCATTGTTCTATTCAGGAAGTCGATGAGCATCCAAATATGGAACGTTTCCTTGTTTCTGATACACACTATCGCACTCATAAGTATTTGGCTGCGTTAGTGCGGGCAATGCCTTGTGTATCGCATGAATGGATCTATAAATGCTTAAATGAGGTGTGATATTTAACCTAGGTTTTGTTAACTTAGGAAATCAGCGTAATTGTTCTCCCGATAGCAACTATTGGTTATTGTTTTCCATTTAAGTATTATATCTGTTTCAGAAAAAACTCGTTGACTATAAACCATTTCTATTGCCTTCCGGTGTTTCAATTCTTGATGAAAAGGAATATCCATTGTAAGTTGAAGTTCATTGCGAATATCGAGAGATGAAAATTCTGTGATTGTTGATGAATTTTTTATGGAAGGTATTTTCATGTTTCTACCCAATTTTAATCTCGCTTGTTTTTTTTTTTTGAAAAATATGCATATCTGTCTTTCACAATGGAGAACATTAAAAATTTTCTTATCAGAAAATTTATCTAAAAGGTTTGGACCTCTTCCCTATTATATTTAATTTGAATAAAATAAGCTTGTCTATTAATAGCCTACAAAAATGAAACAGACCTTGTACTTTTTAGGCCTACAGAACGTGGTGTACTACTTCGAAACAAGAGAGTAATGGTACATTCAAATGTGACACCGCCAAATAAAAAGTCGATGTCATTCGAACAAATTTGGGTGCCAATGGTTCCCCAACTTGGTGGTGAAATCGTATCGGACATACCTGATGAAGGCATGTTCTGTTTTTAAGAAGCGGAATGCGTCCGAAAGTAACAAGCGTTTTTGCTAATTTAATCCAATATTTTGTAGAAGGAAAACTCGACATTCTTTTGACGGACCACTCAGCTACGGCAAGTATGGTAGAAAAGGCTCGCAAGATCGGATGTGCCGTTGTTTCATCTGAATGGTTGATTCAGGTACATACAGTAACGGGAATGCGAATACGTCTAATTGCAAAATTTGCTTCCTTCACAATTTAGTCAGTTATAACCTGACAATCCTCCCAACGGTTTACCTCCTCATCATGGCTGGGAGGTGTTCCTGAGTGTCGGACTGCAATGTACAGCGGGAGATTCGTTTCCCCGGCAGGGTCTCCCAAGCTGAAAAGGAGTCCGGCGTTTCCATCAGGAAGCCTAGCTAAGATTAAACCAGGATCCACCACCGTCCTGGTATCAAAGTCGCATGATGGCAAATCTCCCTCTGATCCACAAGGGCTGCGACTCTACCTGTCGTGGTGACAACTTGAGGCAGACTTTGGTCAGGTTCTCCTTGGGATTCTAGGGAACCACAATGCCTTAACCAGCAAATCTCCGAAAGATGGTGATTATGCTAGGGCCCGTACAACTAGTGAGGACAGGTCGTTCAAGTATCAAATAAGTAAGTATTACCTGATAGTACTCATACTAGAGGACGGGTAGTGCATTGTCTGGATTGATCCCGTCTCAATCTCATTCTCTTATCCCGCCGGCGTCGAGAAATTGCTACCAGACTTGTCTGGGAACGGCTCGCTGCCTGCATTCCAAGTGGGAACGCGCTAGCTTAGCAATACCAAGATTCAGGGAGAAACGACTTGACGTGTATTCAACGACACTCATAAAGGCGACAATGGATGCCAGTGAACGGATCGAGCTGAGGTCAGCGCAGTAGATGTGAAGACGGGTCATGTAAAAATAAAAATAAGACACTCATAATGCACTTCTTGTCATAGATCCTTCCGAGATTTTTAATATTGTAATTTTCCTTATTCTTGTTTTAAGACAAATGCAATTCCTTCCATAGAAAATGGCCATGCTTTTACTGGTGGTGTATCTCGGCATCACCTGCTGATTGAGAAACTGTTGTAGCTAACACTTTTTATTATTACGCTGTTTTTCTTCAATAAGCAGATACTAGGTTTTTATTATAGAATTTATTAGGATACAATAGCTGACGTTCCGGCTGTTTCGCCTTCTTCAGAGCCTGGAAAGGTCAAATTGAGATGCGATCTATTCAGCCAAACACTTTCATAACCCCAGCAGATAAAACTTGACAATTCGATTTGCATTCGCATAAGAAACAGCTTCATTTAAACAACTACCGTTCATTTGTTGTACTATTTAAGTTAGTTGATGGATACCCGCCGCACAGAGTAATACATGGGCGATAACTGTGTCTGTGTCAGGTTATTGGATTAGCCTGAGGTATGGCGCCAGGTGACGCGTGATGACAAGACACTCCTCGTTGCGGTTCACTTTTAAATCTTTGGAATTGATCCAAAACGCTTCAAGAGTTTCACGCGCTGATGTTTTCGATTCCTGCGTAAGGATAGTGACTCCTACCTCAAAACCTTCTCCGTTGTGTTCCTGCATCCAATGCGCGCTTAGTGGAGTGTTTGATTTTAATCACTATCTTAACCTTTTTATTTACTGCCTATTCTGTTTAATGGCAGGGTATCTTGCGAAGCATAACTTCTATAATGCTGAGATATTTGCAAAACTCCGAACCGCAGGTGTCTGCGGTGGGAAACGGATGCACTATTGTCCCATGACCGACTTTCTGTTAACCTCGGCATTAATTGATAATTCAATGTTTTTCATCAATAAGCAGACACGAGGTTGTTAATATAGAATTTATTAGAACACAATTGCTGACGTTTCGGCGGTTTCGCCTTCTTCAGAGCCTGGAAAGGTCAAATTGAGATGTGATCTACTCAGCCAAACACTTTCACAACCCTAGCAGATAAAACTTGACAATTCGATTTGCATTCGCATAAGAAACAGCTTCATTCAAACACCTACCGTTTATTTGTTGTAAGTATTTAAGTTAGTTGGTGGATAGCCGCCGCACAGAGTAATACATGGTCGATAACTGTGTCCATGTCAAGTCATTGGATCCGCAAATGAACCGCAAGGAGGAGTGTCTTGTCATCACGCGTGACCTGGCGCCATACCTCAGGCTAATCCAATGACCTGACACAGGCACAGTTATCGCCCACGTATTACTCTGTGCGGCGGCTATCCACCAACTAACTTAAATACTTACAACAAATAAACGGTAGGTGTTTGAATGAAGCTGTTTCTTATGCGAATGCAAATCGAATTGTCAAGTTTTATCTGCTAGGGTTGTGAAAGTGTTTGGCTGAGTAGATCACATCTCAATTTGACCTTTCCAGGCTCTGAAGAAGGCGAAACCGCCGAAACGTCAGCAATTGTGTTCTAATAAATTCTATATTAACAACCTCGTGTCTGCTTATTGATGAAAAACATTGAATTATCAATTAATGCCGAGGTTAACAGAAAGTCGGTTATGGGACAATAGTGCATCCGTTTCCCACCGCAGACACCTGCGGTTCGGAGTTTTGCAAATATCTCAGCATTATAGAAGTTATGTTTGGTTTTAATTTAGATTTACCGACTAGGTGTTCTTTTCTGCGGACGCAGAGCGGTCTACCCGTTTCGCCAACGTATTCCTCCCCGCACGCTTTACAAGAGATCAAACAGACTGTACCCGAACTCATGCAATCACCGTCTCTACCGTTAGGGCAAATTATGCAGTTTTTCGACGTACATAGACGGTCATATAGGCGGTTGCGAACTAGCTGACGTCGTAGAGTGTCCGATGGTATTTCTATCACTCTTACTGAATTCTCTGGACCGGCCCTTATTAGGCAACGCTTTATAGCTGCACTTATTTCGTTTCAAATAAAGGGCAAGAGGTACGGAGCCTTGTTTTCGCTAGAACTATCGCTCTTGGGCGTGGATTTTCCTTTATGTCTATGCCGAGAAGCTACAGTTTCATAACCATTTGAAATGGCTATTCTTAAGAGAACACGGTGAACATTGAGCTCAGCGCGCAAATTCCTTGTGTACTCACAGGTGCACGCCTTTCTGTTGTCTTTTATCCCTACGATTTGGGTTTTCCGAGGTACTTTCATTTCTGTTTTTTTCTTACTACCATCTATCGAAGTTTTCTACATTTTTTCTCCATGTCTTTTCCAATGTTTTTGAAACAGTTCCAACTCTTTTGTGTAATGAAAATGAGCTCAGTGGACCTCTAGTAATGGTTCTGCCAGCCTTCGGTAGTGAATTACATAACATATTGTAACTTTTTAGACATTTTCACACATATGTGAGAGCGACTTAATACATTACGTGAGTTTTCCTAAAGGTGTATTAAGTGAAAGCACGTTGACGAACAAGGACTCCGTACCAGCATAGAAACATTACATAGTGGTTGAATAGACTCCTACTAGAATACTGGGATAGCTCTGCTACAGTGTTCTGAATTGTTACCACAAGTAATTACCGGCCTTCATGGAGATATCTTTTTTCTGAAAAATCGATTACCAGTTGGCGCCCGCATAGGGAATAGAGGCTTGATTAACGCAGGTTGTTGTCCAACTAAAGACCATGCGTATATTGAACGGCATCTTGAACCGCTGCGCTTCCTGTGCTCGATCAAGCCTATGTATGTATTCAATTTCTCTTTTTGTCTACACAAATTTGTCTACAAATGAACAATTTGTTCATACAAATTATAGATTTTTTGATAAAGTCTAGTTGTAGCTCTTCGTACTATATAGGTCAAGTTAGTGACAAAATTTGTCTTTAGTTGTAACACGTAGATTTAAAAGCACACTTTTCAGGGAATAATTATGGACCGACTGCCGGATGTTAATGCACATCAGAAATTTCTTCATAATGGTGGTGTGTACACGTAGACGTAATTTTTGTTTGTTTGTGTTTATTTCTTACTCTATACGTCAATTATGTTCGAACGAATGCGATTATCGTAAGTATACGGTTTCGAATCGATTTGAATCCCGACTTTCTGTGTTCAATTTCAAATTTAAGCCTCATAACAATAAAAAGCAAGCAGGTAACATCTTCAGTATAGAATTAGCATAAATCTTCCAAACAATAGCTAACATGACCCAATGTTTGTTAGTTTGTCCATTCGTCCATGTACAAGATATATATACATATTTCATTTTGCGATCTATGTTGACACAGTCCTTTCTTGATTTTACTATTTCCAATACTACTAATATTAGGTGGGATATCTTGTGGTTTTCTTGTGGTTAGTTTTTTGATACTACTGTTTCCAATGTTACTAGCCTTAGATGGGATATCTTATGTTTAATCCTGGATCTTATGTCCTACAGTTTGTTTCATACTATTGTGTTGTCGATCTCTGTAATAAAGATACATCATCTTATTGTTCACAGTGTTTTCATATGAGCAACGAAATTAGGTCATTCAAGACCGCTATATCCCTTTATTTGTTGTCGAACTAATGACAGGTGTTAGAATAATTTATGGTTTGAAATCCTGTGATTCTTGCTGTTAGAATTGTAATCTCACTTTTGTACTCAAGAATAGAACAAAGATTTTCACTGGTGACAGTATTTGTTCTCAAGGTCTTAATAATTCCATAAAAGCATACAGTTTTCGGCGTTGATCAGTTCCTAAGGAGTGGGCATGCATTCGACTCTATTCGTAGAATCGTTGAGGTGAATGAATGTGTATCTTGCCTACACAATGATTTTCGGTGACATAGGGATGAGTAAAATTATGGGTGCTATTCTCCTAAACAAGTCTGCTAGCAGTTAGCCGACCCGAATGATTTGGTGAGGGCGGAATACGAAATCAAGCGAACGATCACGTATGTATTTCTGGTCACCTACAAACTGAGCTATACGTGCTCATAATCTCTTCATACTAGTAACGCATTTATCCACATCACTCACCGATATGGTCATTTGTTTAGTTTCACATTTTCACCATAATACTCAGCTAAAGCTTGATCACTGAGCTGCCATAGATGTTCTCTAGGAAATCTTAGTATCAACGTGGATCACTTCCTCAAAAGGTGGTGGCTTTTAATAATGTTGCGGAAATAATCAACTAAGTGTTAAAGTATGTGTGACTTTTCCCGTTTTTACAGTGGGAGTCCTACTATTGCAGTTATAGGCTGGAATAGGAATTTCAGCCATAGTGATCTGCCAATTTGGAAGTAAGAAAATAGCAGCGAGCAGTGTATATTCTGACACATAAAAAGCAAAATTCTTAAGGTAGTTTATTTCTGATGTCGTATTTTCTGGCTGACAGACACTGGAAAAAGAAGCGGTCTGACATCAAATCGACTACAACATTCAGCTGGCTGTTCAGCTCTATTTGATCGCTTTCTGTCTATAAAGACGATTAAATCTATCAGTGGCTACGTATACGTAAGATCAGTTTCTTAATCCTAGCGGTTTCTGGTACTTTGCTCGGTTGGCGGGTGTGCTGATGGCGGCGGTTGTGGTGGAGATGCAGGTGTCCGAGATGTATTTCTCACTATAATACGTAATAGGTAACATAATTGACGTGAAACACTGATTTTCCACTAAATTTTCTTCTACTTTATTTGATCCGCCTTCATATACTGCGCGGGTGCCAGCCCTTCTTTCGTGCTACTTGTTGTTTTGCACCCATCATCAACCAGAATGATCAGACTTGCACGTGAGTTCGACATCTAATCGATGCCTTTGTTTACTTAATGAATGCTGCTGTCGTCTGGTTGAACTGAATCTCATTTCTACGTTGCCATCACAAGCAGTCCTCTGCTCTAGTGGATTGCAAGGACTTTTCTAGGCAAGCATGGAACCGGTTAGCCAAGCGTGAAGAGATAGTGGAGACTTTGCTGGTCCAGCTTAGCGTTGAACCAACGACTATGCATGTATTGCACGAGATTTCTACCACTTTGTAAAGCACAACTAATACTTTTTTAGTTTCCCCGACACAAATCGCAAATACGAGCGATTGCTCATCACTTTTAATTGTAAGGTACGGATTTAAGTAAAATATCAATATGAGAACTATTTAATATGGGAAAGAAGTCAATATTGAAAGCAAGTTATTAAAAAAGCTTCCATTACCGGAATTAACTGCAGTGTTTGAGCGATTTGAGTTGCTTGCATTGGAGCTCACTGCCGGTGATGGATCAGTGGCCGGATTTCCTCTGCCTAAGATGGAAATTAGTATAAAACTTGAACCGAAAACGAGTCGCTGATAGATAGAGTCAAATACAATGAGACGTGACTTTCTTACAAAAGAAAATATGAAAATTAGACTAAGACTAACGTTCTTCATTGACAGCGTCAAATACAATCTCTTCAACTAGCGCTTGTAGCATTCCTTGTAATCTGTAATGCTCACTGTACTACACTAGGTGTTAACGGGACAATTTATATTGTCGCACTGGATCAGCTATCATAAGTCTACGCAATTAGCTAGCAGGAGTCATTTTATGCTTAGCTAAACCAAAAGCAACGATTTCGAGGAAGACAATTTCCTGATAAAGGACAACTTCTAATTAGTTGAGCATATTCTAGTTGACAAGAGAGAAACTTCGGATGTAGTTTATTAATCTTAGCTAAACGTTGGTTAGAAGCTGAAGGCCTAGCTAAGGTAATGTTAGATCTAATCCACGTTTACATCATATTGATATTCTCCTCAGCAGGATGTTCATGATGTCCTCCATGTCCTGTGCCTATAATGGAAAATTTTTCTGCTATCTCCTAGTCTTGCATGTATAATAACAACTATACCATGCTCGGCTTGCGTGCCGAAGTTCCCCGGCACAACTTCTCGCCGATCGGTTGGATTCGCAGTTGTTCCGGTGCTAGGTGTAGGTGCAACTTGAGCGCCTTGTGGTGAAGTCGGTTGTGTGGCTACGAGGGGGACCTCTTCAGGTGCTTGTTGTTGATTAACTGGTGTTACCGTATCTGGTGGGATTTCTTCTATATGTAAGCTGAATGAACGAAGTTCATTATGACTGTTCTCGTTGTTTGTTTAACACTCTCGCGGCGACTAACACCTACAAGTGTGCTGTCATAAAGGTTTTGCGGGTGCACCCACCAATAACCAATACACCTATAGGTTTCATTTTCTTTTCAGTGATTTCTTCCAAAATATAGATCAGTGTTTTACACTTTTTGTTATCAGCTGATAGCTTGTAGAACGCAGATGTGTATTGGGCGTTGGTGAGAAAGAACTCTGTTCTGCACGTATAAACACAAAGAAACTGTCCACCGAACTAGTTCACTAAGTGGGAGTTTGGGTTCTAATCGACTACTATTTCAATTATAATTCCTATAGTGAAGGTTAATCACTGCATAGAATGTGGGGAGTATAAGGGATTCCGAAATAAAGGCCCGTTGCAAAACACTTCCAAGTGCAGACTGAAATGCGTTTGTACGATTGACTGTAGTAACATGTGGTAAATATTAGGTTGTTCAGAAACAAATGAGCGTTTTAAAATATATACTGTTTTGATGTTTACCAATAAAATGACCTACCAGTAAAATATTCTTTGTACTTGCAATATTATATCTCATTAGAAATCTAATTTTATGCCTATTCTAACCATATCTTTATATTTTATCGAAAATTAACTTTTCCACTAATTTTGAGCTTTGCAATTTCAGATGTCAAAGACCAATTTCGATCAAATTTTCCTTTATGAGTTCAAACTCGGTCGTAGTGCACCAGAGACGGCTCGAAGCATTAATAATGTTTGGGGTGAAGATAGTGTTGATGAGTCAACAGTGCGAACATGGTTCCGGAAACCGATCTGGTGATTTCGACTTCGAAGACAAGGAAGGCCGCGAACGTCCTAATGAACTTGACGAAAACGAACTGAAGGCAATAGTGTGAGCAAACACTCAAACAACTATTCGAGAGGTTGCAGAACAACTTGGCATGTAAGCATAGGACCAATTCCACTCACTTGAATCGCATAGGAAAGATGAAAAAAACTCGACAAGTGGGTGCTGCAAGAATTAAGCGACATTAAAATAATCGCCATTTGAAGTGTCGTATGCTCTTATTCTGTGCAACAAAAACGAACTCTTTCTTGACCGAATTGTGACGTGCGAGGAGGAGTGCATTCTGTACGACAACTGACGACGTTCAGGTTCAATAGTTGGATTGCGATCAAGCTCCACAGCATTTATCAAAGCCGAAATTGCACCAAAAAATGTTATGGTGAGTGTGTGGTGGTCTGCAGCTGGGCTGATTCATCACAGCTTTTTGAATCGGGTCCACATGTTTTCGGCAGAAAAGTATTTGAAACAAATCGGCAAAAGGCAAGATAAACTCCAACCACAACGACTAGCATTAGTCGACAGAAAAGGGCCAAACCTACAAAATATCGTCCGGCTCACGTTGCGGAACCAGCGCTGCAGAAGTTGAATGAGTTGGGTTATGAAACTTTGCCTCACCCTCCATATTTGCTAGACCTCTCGCCTACCAACTATCACTTCTCCGAGCACCTTCGCAACTTCCTGCGGTATAAATGCTTCACCAACTACGATGGCGCAAAAAATTCCTTTTCCAAATTTCCAATTCCAAAAATTGCTCATCAGGGCACCTAGACCTATGCCAAGTTTGTCTCGCTTCCGTTGATCAAAAAATTTGGACCGAATGAGTATTTTCCGAATACAAGAAAAATATACTGACTGCTTAAAACGATAAAACGATGCTTAAGAAGGGCAGGTCTAGAGGAATCGGTAGCTATAGTTGAAATACCACCGGCTACTCTACGTCGTCAATTAGTTCGTAACCGCCTGTATGACCGTCTATGTGAAACAACAAATTGCGTAATTTGCCCTTACGGCAGGGACGGTGATTGCATGAGTTCAGGTACGATATACCTGATCTCGTGTAACAATTGCGGAGATGAATATATTGGCGAAACGGGCAGACCTTTGTGTATCCGTATAAAAGAACACCTGGATGGCAAACGAAAACTAAGACGAAGCACCCCACTAGGCACGCATAGGATACAAAAGCATAGCGGAGACGATTTTGAAGTAAAAGTCAATATCCTTGCACAGGAGTCCAAAACACCAGCGCGAAAACTCCTAGAGGCATTTTGGATCAATGCCAAAAACCCTACAATGAATAACAGGGACGAATGCCCGGAGGTCATACGCGACCTGATCCCGTATGTTCGCATCAATTTCTGATGTGGGATGATGCAGTCGTCAACCACATGCGACTATAATCAGCTGTTCTAAACTTCCTCATTGGAAGTCACGAAAAAGCGGTGGGTTTTTCGAGAAGTTGTTGATCGTGTAATTACCAAAGAGTCTTTCGTCTTTTTGTAAGTGTTATTGAATCGTTTGGCCTAGTAGATTGTATATCAGTATACCCTTCCAGGCTCTGAAGAAGGCGATACTGCCGAAACGTCAGCTAGTGTTGTATTCTATTGTTTCTCTATGGAAGCTAATGTATGCTGTTTAAAAACCTTGCGATTGCTGAACAAGAAAACGACACATTCATATTCCAATGCCGAGGTTAAGAGAAAGTCGATCCTGGGAACTAGTATAGTTAAAAAACGCTCATTTATTTCTGAACAACCTATTATCAACATAAATATCGTTCATATCCACAGAACGATAGAGCACAATGTTCTCCATAAGCAGTTCATGTCCACAACCCGCGAAGTCCTCTAATCGTCGAAAACATTATTTTTAAAAAAAAGTGGAAAGTCCACAAAGGCCGAAAACTAGGCGTCGTCCAGTCCGCAACAAACCAGAGATTAGGCGTCGTTGCAAGAATGTTAAGTCATCGATAATCAGACGTTTGCAAAGATTGATCTTTGCTTTTCGTTAAGAACGTTATATATGGGATTCGCTGAATAGGAGAGTAGTTTAGGTGGAGATTCTCATTGTTAACCTATACCATGGGCGGCGGATATGGTTTCGTCTAAAATGTGCGAAACTTCCAGAAATTAGTGTTTTCTTCTTCACAAAAAGATACGGTACCAATTGACCGGAAACCCCAAAGGGATAATGCCTTTACGATTTCGTTCCCACAGTCCAAATTAGTGCAATATTATAGTGATTTATGCAACGTACTCTATCTTATTCTACTGACACATACAGGTATATTTCCTTTCATTTCAAAAAACGTTCTAAAAATTCTCGGGTTTTAGAAATGCATTCATTTTTATGAGGTGAAACTTCCTATGTTTCAAAATCGATAAATTATTCATTTGTTGCTTCTCCGATATTCCTATTATTACTCATTTCTCATTATTCACTAAGTTAAGTTTCTTTCGAAATACTATAAACTCTTTGTAAACATACTAAGTATAACGGTTGCCATAGTAGACAGTTAGGTACCACATAACTCACGACTGCGTATTCTGATCGATACCTTCGTCAGGCCCACGATCTTGCATTGGCGCTGGGACAGGCACATTCGCCTCTGGATTTAAAACAGGATCCTCAACAGCCTCTTGTGTTGTTGCCGAGACATTGCCGTCGCCAGGTGGCCTTCCGTCAAATTGCGGTTGTACGGAAGGTGCTGTCAGTTGAGTACTAGCCACATTACCAGGTGGCGCTGTTAGTGTAGTACGTGAAATGAGGGCTAGTGGAGTGTCTGAAGGTGGAGCGGTGGCCTGTGAAGATGCAACTGGTACAGCAGTGGCAACAGGGGCTGGAGCTGTACCATTTGGTAGGGCGGCATTTACTCCAGCGTTGCGTTCTTCAGCTACTGTCGGAACATTCGGTCTAAATAGTAGGAAATATCAGCTTGATTTCACTTTCTAAAAGAAACGAAGAGAGAAGGACGCTGTAACTTTATTCAGTCAAACGATAAAAGACCATATTCGTTTGCTAGATAAAGGATAAGAGATAGAGGTCTTGGCGTTGATCAATCCGTGAGGGACGCGCCATGCATTCGACTTCATAAAGCATCATAAGAGGTGATTGAATGCATGTATGACTCATAAGCTGACTCGCGGAGGCCTACCGATACATCGAGCCAGTGCTGCTATCCTCCCAGACAAGTTTGGTAATAATTGGCCAAGCCCGGAGTGATGGAAGGGTTGGTGAACCTGGAGGGCGTGGATCAATACCCTTTGCATTGCGGGGCACCTCTCACCACTGCGCTACACGTACCCTGTTCGCTTGGTAAAAGGATAAAGCATAAAGGTCTCAGCGTTGATCAATCCCCGAGGGATGTACCATGCATTCGATTTCATTAAGTATCGTTTGGAAGTGATTGAATGCATATCTGACCTTTACAATGACTCGTGGTGGCCTACCAATCTACCGAGCCAGTGTTGCTATCCTCCCAGACAAATCTGGTACCAATTTACAGACCCCGGAGGCATGGAAGGCTTGGTGGGCCGTGGGCGCGGGATGGATTCCATATGTGTGTTGCAGGGCGCCTCCGACCACTGCGCCACACGCGGCCTTGTTTGCTAGATAGTGTGCCAAAAATGTCGTGCGTAGTAGGACAAAACCCAATAATTAAAATGAGATAAGAATGTCAATAATGGAAAGAATAAGGCCAATTATGGAGTCACAGAAAGTACTTCGAAGTGATGAAGTTTTTTTATTGTTAGAAAGGGTTTTAAAGCAAATAAACAAAAACGTGCCGTAATCGATTGTGTTCTCTTCTTGGAAGAGGAGGTGCCTATAAAAAGAGCCTTCCAACAAATGACGATTTTTTTATGTTTTTTTCTGGAGTTCAGAGTGTTATTTGACAGCGATGCTCATGAAAAGCACTAAACGTGTTAATAAACATCCTTTGAGACGATTCTACATGATCGTAAAGTAATGGGTACATCATTCAGTTCTAATAAATCTTTGAGGGATGCGCCACGCATTCGACTCTATTCGTAGCATCGTAGTGGTGAATGAATTCATAACTGGCATATATGATGAACTGACTGCGGTCGCCTACCGATCTATCAGTTCGGCCTTATTATTCTCCTATACGAGTCTTGTATCAATTTGCTGACTCTCGAGGTATGGAAAGTTTAAGAGAGCCCGGGACCGGCAATCAAGCACCAACAACTACGTATTTGTTACATGACACTAACCACTGCGCTACCGTCGACCTAAATAAATACAAATATGTAAATAGGCGAGGAATTTGCGTGCATTCGACTATCGCTACGAATTATTGGTCTTCTGCATGAGTTACCGGATGCCGGTCCACTTGATTCTATCTGCAACCCTGAGATCGCCATGATAGGAGATTCTCATATTTGCACAACAGGCAATCATTAATTCCCCGTCTTTTTTATGATACATCATAGGAAGATCTTCGCAAATCAGTGTAACAATTTTTCAATGTCGGACGGATGAGAGGCTTGTTTGTCCATAGAACCAGGGCCTCAAGTTTATTGAACGGCATCTCTTACTTTTGGTTCTTCACTCTCCTTTATGAGTCTTACTTGTACTTGGTACTTGAATAGCCCGTCCTCATTGGTTCTGCGGGCTCCAGCATAATGTCCATTTTTCGGAGATTTGCTGATTAAGCATTGTGGTTCCCTGGAGTACCGAGGTCAGTCTGGCCAAAGTATGCCCCAGATCTTCACCACCACAGGCAGTCGCCAGCCTTCGTGGATCACAGGGAAATTTGCCACCATGCGACTAGTTTCATACTAGGACCGTGATGGATCCTTGTATTCGTTTACTCTTACCTAGGTTTCCTCTCGGAAACGCCGGACTAAGCTCGGGAGGCCCTGCCCTGGGATCAATCCCGCGCTCTGCATCGCGTCCGACACCTAGGAACACTTCCACGCCACGACGAGGCGATAAGCCGTTGGGAGGCTTTATGAGTCTAGATGATTTTAGATGTGAAAATATGTGAAAGGCTGAGTAGTTGTGGAACTCGACGTTTATTATATAGTAAGGTAACGAGGCAGTTACAGTATCATTCACTTTTTGTATGTAATCGCTAGTAGATGGAGGCGGATTTCAATGTCACACCGAGTTTTACTGTTTTGGTCAAAAATACCATACCTCTAGCACTAGTCGTGGGGCACGAACATGCTCCAGAGCTCCTTCTGGTCTACTAAAATGCAAAGAGCGTTAGTGGTTCTCCGTTCTGTACAACAAGTTTAATAATAATAAACATAGTTCTAGTAAATAGGCTAATAGGTGGTAACGATAACACTATTAATCGCGATCAGTCTTATCACTACTTTACTTTTTATGGTGACTATCCTCTGAATCTTCATAATGTTCGTACACGAGAAGTATGGGCGTTTTCTGCGAATCCGAGTAGATTGTGAGACATTCTGTTTGAAAACTTTAACTTTTACATTTTTTTTCAAACATTCAGTCGAGTTCTCTTTAGTAGCTATAAACGCGTTCCACATCGCTCAGCTAATGCATACCCAGCGGAAAACCAGCCGTAAAAAATTCCCAGGACCGACTTTCTATTAGCCTTGGCATTCATGAGCACATTCCCTGTTCATGCAATCTCTCGGGGACTGATCTTCATCAAAAAGTGGAAGACTTTTAGAAAAGAAAACAGCTCTGAAGAAGGCGAAACCACCGGAACGTTGGCCGCTATTGAATAAATTTCGTATGAAGAACAACGTCAGGCCTGTTCAACAAGAAAGCATCAGGCTATGAGGAATATTTTCCTTCTTTCTATACCTTCACAGAAACCCTACTTTAATGTCATAGTGTTCCGTTATCAACTCAAAAGACCGACTTTCTATAATCCTCGGCATGAGAAATAAATATATTTATTTATATGTTCTTATGAACTGCCTTGCCAACACGAGCATGGTGCTAACTCGATTCTGCTCCGGGCCAACCAAGCTTCTCCTCCCACCGGGGTCAGGAACTTGGTACCGGACTTGTCTGGGAAAAAAATCGCTCTCTGCAATCCAATTGGGAACGCTCTAACCCGGCTATATCAGTACTCCAGGAAGAATTGCTCGACTACCATTCCACGACATTCGAGATGAAATAGAAATCCTCAAGCAGCGACCGAAGCCAAACGTAAAAGTTGGAGGATCGTCGTGGGCGACGGATTCGAGAGAACGAGTCGAATGTGAGAAGTACTGGGATCCGCACGGTAGACGTGAAGACGGGTCAAATAAAATAGAATTTAAGGAAAATATGAACTGCCTTTGTTGAGCTGATGCGAGGTTGGTATAGGTTGTCGTTGTTGTTGTTGTTCGTCGATCGCTGACGGACATTCGGCTATTTCGGCTTTCTTAGAGCTCAACAAAGGTAGTTTGTAGGACTAAGAGATATTCTGTTTTTGATGGTCATTTTCAAGAACTGCGTAATGGTGCTGCTTGTTGCAGGATCTCAGTCGCACAGGACTATGGTTGTCATCGGTTGGTGACATACCTCGGACTCCTCTGCGTTCCAGACGGTCGATATCTGCAATGAGTATCCGATAACTTGTCAGATCGAGTCAGACCTGTCCGTACCATCATACGTGACATCCACTCCGGAGTAATATATATGGTGTGCTACTCGGCTGCAGAGCCACTATTGCTCGTCTCTTCCGTTGTCATCACTTACTCCTTACTCCTCTTTCTTACTTGATTTCGATACGTTATTCGTTGGTCATACTATCTAATCAGTCCATTACAAAAACTATTTTCTCTGTTTTACTTCAACACTTGAATACTTAGATAGCCCGTCTTCACTTGCAAATCCTCTCATAATTTCCACTCCTTTCTCTTGTGCTAGCGCTGTCTACGCTCGTGGTGTGCTTCAACCATTGTGGAATTCACTAGGCCTATTCTGTAGTCCTGAAATCGTTCCCATCTGTGAATGGGAATGGTTGACGTTAGCCACAAACTCTTCCGCCAACCGTTTTGGTGATCGTCTAAGAGAACAAAGTAAACGTTCATGTGAAGCGAAAATTCGGTTGTAGTCGTTCTCGTCCGGTGAACATCAGATGGGTCCATGGAATTGTCAAGAAGGAAGTTACCGAAAAGGACGTCGCCTACTCTAGGGAAATTGCTGAAAACCTTCCACTACCTTACTCATTCTTCAGCTGATCATCACGGAAGGGATTAGACTCTGAAACTGTCGTTTGCTCAGCAAACAACAAACAACTATTCTAAAGACAAGTGTCAGGAGATGAAGCAAGATGTTCTCTATGACTATATCTGGTCTACTTCCTAGCCATGATTGGGAAAAGAGTTAGTGATTATACATCAGCCCAGAGCGACTGCAAACAATGTGGAAGACCACAAGATATGCAGTCATTACGGACGATTTAGAAGACTGGTGATAATCGGCAATATGTTCTCGCTGTCCAAAAGGGGTTATGGGAATTAGAGTCTCAACCACCAGAGGGTATGCGTGCAACCCTACCACGTGTGGCAACGTCTGCCCCTTCTGAGGAAGACTGTTCTTTGGTTATGCCAACCCTTCTTCTACTTAGTGCTTCACCTCTACTATGGGTCCCTTTCCTTATAGTGTAGTGAAGTTTAAACTCTCTAATTCATATAAACTACTTCTTAAGAACCGTTGTCACCCAGTAGCAGATTTTGCTGTTTTATAAAACTGTCATATCTCTTCTGCATGATAGGTATTCATTGCTTTTATTCACTGATGTATTTAGCAACGTCTGATCTTTATCATACCTTGCTTAATTCATTGTGTTTTACACAGAGACATAGTTGTTTTCCCCTGATACGTGACATGAAAAAGAAATTGGTCGTGAGCAAATTCTCTATATCGTTGAATGAAGCGCACCAAAATGTATACGATATTTGGGAATGTCCGGATAAATGCCAAAGGCAACCGAAAACGCGCCTTGTTTCTAGCTGGAGTTTCCTGTATTGAATAAATCTGACCATTATTGAACAAATCAGTAACAATAACCTGCCCGATAAAGTGATGACCTTATTGTAAAGAACATGTCCCAATGGCATCGACGCGCTCTGACTACGCCGATTATATGATCGATCCGAGAGTTGGTGAGATTGGGGCAACGTGGCCCAGCTGCGTATGGTAAAAGAGCAAGAGAATTCCTATTTTGGATCACATGTGTAACAACCCGTCCACTCACTGAAGCCAGAAGTCGAATGCTTCTTGCGCACTAAGGATTTCGTGAAGTCGAGTAGCGCTATGTCAAAACCGCAGAAGGCTGTTTTACAGTCTTTGCAAGACTTTAATAGATTTCTGTGTAGCATGCAAATCTCTCAACGGATCTCCCTCATATGAGGGATCTCGAGCCGGCTAATCGCGAGGCTGCGTGGCGCGTCCCCGGGTGGCGTATAAGGGTTAATCGCGGACCAAAAGCAATTTTTGCTTCTCTGAAGCGCAGGTGGATCCAGGGTATGGACTTCCTGTTTCTGCTGCGCTGATTTGACACATACTTTCTGCACCTGCTAGGCGTATTCATGCATGCGTGTGTGGGTGCGTTCTCGCTTATGCAGTATGCTACGAGTCAATTCAGCCAAAACCCTGCAATCAAGTGACAGGAAAGCATATGGGAGGTTGTTAGGAGTCGCCTGCAACAAATAAGCTTCATGTCCACTCTGGGAGTGGCCTGGCAAGCTACACGTGAGTATGCCCACCACCACCACGTTCGGAGCTCAGCGAGCTATGCGTGGGTATCAAAAATGCCAAACATAGTAAAGAAAAGAACGGGCTTCATTCCCTTGACTCCGAAAGAGCCTCCAATTTCTCAGCGTTGCGTAGGACGAGTACGGAGAGGCTGCAAAAATCTCAGAGCCAATGGAAGCATCTTGGATTTCAAAGAACTATGATGACGATCTGTACCTACAATCCACGTACACTTGCATCCTAGTCCTCGATAGAAGACTTGCTCATGCAAGCAAGAAGAGTAAGGTACGAAGTCATCGGCCCGACCGAGACGAGAAGACACCAGCCTTTCAACACCGCCTATGACACCGGAGAAGAACTGTTCCTAGGAACATGCGACAGTAGAGGAGTCGGCGGCGTCGGCATTTTCGTCAACACGAGTTTGTCCATGAACATCGATTCATTAGAACAACTTACAACCCTAATCGGACGTTTACGATTGAAAATATGTGTATCAATACCGGCTTTGAAAATTTTCGTCGTTTACGCACCGAAATCAAACTATGACGAAGAAGTCGAAGCGTTCTATACGGACTTGCTGAAGTTACACAGAGAAGACCATAAATTCTCCAAGGTTACCACTGGAGATTCTAACGCCAAGATTAGGCCAACAAAGCCGTTTGAACAAGCACAGATTGAAAGCAATGGATTAGAATGAAACGAACAGAGTGAGCGGCTGTCTGAGTTTATCATGATGACCAAGACAATAAATGGTAACTCGCAATTCCAGAAGCCCCACCCTCAACGCTGGACTGGGAGTCTCCCAGTGGAGAGTGCAATAACGAAATAGACTACATCATAGCCGACCGGTTTTGCCTGACCAATATCGCTGTTGTCCCAAAATTTTACACGGAATCAGACCACCGTCTCCTTCGTGCAAGATTCTATTTCTCGCGGAAAGAAGAGAAAGCTGATAAGTTCAAAAATCAAAGTCTCAGAGCAACTATTAATTGGAACTTACTCAACCCATTAGTCGGCTACTGTGAAGATGCCGTTGTCGATAACATCCAAGAAGAAGAGTATGATCGGCTCATACATCTTCACGTTAACGTATGAAAGCTGAGAATTCGAAGGTCACCAAGAGACGTCTGTCTACAGAAACACGAGCTGATACGCCAGTGTGGGATCGCACGAGCTGCAGGCAACCGCGAACTAACGTCTGAATTTGCAAAACAATGCATACAGGCGATAACAGAAGATATTAAGGAGAGAAGAGCAGCAGTAATGGTCGAAGATGCAGAGGCTGGGAAAAGCATTCGCAAAGCCTACCGAAGCTTCGCCAATTACAAGACCAAAATGATTGCACTCCAGCACCCAGACGGAACAGTTACAACGTCCAAAAAGGCAATGGAGAAAATCATTCACGATTACTACTCGGATCTCTTCGATAGCCACGTCCAGCTTCTGTCATATGAAATAAAGGAGGATGGATATGTTGTACCACCGGTTCTCCCACCCGAAATCCGACATACCATTTCGTCGATGAAAAATCGAACAGCACCAGGTCCATATAGGATAAGATCTGAACACTTGAAGAACCTTCCGCCAGTCCTCGTAAACACACTGGCTCTGCTCTTCACACGTCACCTGTTTGAATGCAAGGTCTCTAATCAGTGGAAGACCAACAAGATCGTGCAATTGTTCAAGAAGGGTGACTTACATGATATCGGCAACTATCGCTCAATCTGTTTACGGTCTGTCGTCTACAAACTTTTCACTCGAGTCACCCTATACAGAACTTGACAGAACACTAGACGAAGGACAGCCATGTGAGTAAGAAGGGTTTCGAAAAGGATTTAGTACGATGGAGCACATCCAAACGGTAACAAGGCTCATTGAAGTATCGCGAGAGTACAAAAGACCGCTCTGTCTCACTTTCATCGAGATAGTCAAGTAATCTCTATTCAGTACATAAAGATTCTTCGTGAGCTGTACAAAAATTTCACAACCAATGTATCACCGTTCTACAACGATATTGACATTGACGTCAAAAGAGGAGTTAGGCAAGGTGATACCATCTCGCCAAAATTATTTACTACCACCATCCAGAACGTCATGCGAACATTGGAGTAGTATAATATGGGAGTGAAAATTGATAGTCCGCAGTTACACCGTCTTCGCTTTGTTGATGACACCGTCCTTATAACACCAAACATTAGCCAAGCGGAACGTATGGTTGCCAACTTTGATAAGGCCTGTGTAAAGATTGGTCTTGGACTAATTCTCACAAAAACGATGTGAATGGAGAACGGATTGGTTTCTCATGGCCCATTCTCGCTCAACGGAAGAAGTATCTCCGAATGCTCCAGTTATGTCTATCTAGGTTGGAAAATCAACATAATGAACGACTTAGCTCCAAAGTTGAGCGGAACGGAACGAGCGCCTTGGGGAGCTTTCAAGAGCATCGAGGATGTAGTGAAGATAACAAAGAACACCCGACTCCGTGCCCACCTTTTCGACTCAACGGTACTTCCTGCGTTAACGTATGCGTCAGAAACCTGGTCGCTGCGTAAGTAGGATGACAGGTCACTCAGTGTTATCAAACGCGCAGTCGAAAGAACGATGATAGGAGTATCCCGTTCCACGCAAGCAAGGGATTGGATCCGAGGCCCCGATCTGCGTCAGCGATCAAAAATCAAAGATGCCATTCTGTACGCCAAACAGTCGAAGATAAGATGGGCCGGACACGTAATGCGTATGTATGACAACCGATGGACAAGAGCCGTTAGTGACCAGATTCCTCGGGATGTCAAACGTGCTAGAGGCAGACAACCGATCCGATAGTCAAAGTTCTTCACAAAGAGCCTTGAGGGATGATATGATGCTCGACGAGTCCCTAGAGCGAGCAGAACCCACTGGGCTACTATTGCACGCGACAGGGAAAAATGGAAGATTTACTAGCGCCCGCTCGAGTCAATCGACGATCAACGGGACTACAGGCGATACAAGTGATGCAAATCCCTAAATTCATTCTTCGTGGTTTGCTGGTCCGATGTAAGGACTTCATAATGCTGAATGAAGAGCATGTGTGGTTGCACCATGAAGGACCCACCCATTTCACATAGTTTGTATGGACCGTTACCATCCCGTTAAATCATATTGCTTTCTGATTTCGTGCTGTAACAGCTATATGTGGGACTACATGGCCTGAGTAGGGCATGTTATTTCGAGTGTAATGTTGTCCATCGATATATTGCGGAGGTTTCTTGGCTTTCGCTTGCTTGAATCACAAAGCTCTCTGTTATCATAAATCATTGTCATCGGATCGCTGTACTAACCTAGTGACCGTTCTGATCATTTTACAAAACCAGTACAAGCTCTACTGTGGTCTGGGTTGTATTGTGGTTTCGCACAACGATTTCTGTCTTGTTCATTAGTTACTTCTTATCGGTCTACCATTCATTCGCTTCTGTACAATACTAACTTGTGATTTTAACTTATTAGTTACTGTCTACTCATTTTTATTGGCAGAGTATTATGCGAAATATAACCTCATCGTTGGTGAGATATTTGCAAAACTCTGGACCGCAGGTGTTTTCGGTGGAGAACGAACGCGTTATTACCCTTTCCGGGGCTAACGCGTTTACCCGTCTACGTGCCTTTCGTTTCACTTGTCTCTCAGTTAGTTCTATCGGTCAATTCCATGAGCAGTCACCATTCAGCGGGATTGATCTGTGGTGACCAAATCAACAATGGATCCAGTTAAGCTGAGGCTGTAGTTATGATTACAATTTTAACTTATTATTTACTGCCTACTGATTTTTAATGGCAGGGTATGTTGCGAAATATAACTTCATTGATTAGCTTGCGATTTTTTTCCTTCTTTCACTGCTGCTGCACAGGATAACAGCTGATTTTCGCAGTGCACCGTATCACTCATGCACGACTCACGGTTTTCCTAACACGTGTGCGACGACGTAATCTCAATAGGAGTCCGACGATGCGTAAACAGTAGCTGCTTCCCAGCTTGAAATCAACATATTTTACCTTATAGTTTTTATTAACTGCAGTACTGACTATTAAAATCCACAAATGTTTGCCAAGAGGTGAGAGGTTCTCCTGTATTGCAGCATCGAAATTCTGATTTTCTGGAGCCTTTGACTTAAACCTCCTCCATTTCATTGCTTAAAGGCTAACATTCTGAGCACGAAAACAAGCGAACTAACAGCATTTCGTCCAGAATGAGGTGGTGATGGTGTTCTCAGTTCAGTGTATGTTAGTAACTGCCGATATTCCGTTGGAAATTTTAAAAACTTAAATGTTGTCGCCAGTTTTTTGGAATTTAAGAATTTAATTTTAAGCATATTGCAAGTTTGAGGGGACACTGTAAACTACGTAGTGCGACTAATACGATAGATTAAACTCTCCTGTTTAGATATTTAGAGCTCTGAAATCTTGAAATATTCTGCTGATCGAGAGGTTATCCTCAGTTATCAGGGAACCAGTATCCTCGCGAAGCGGTTAGCGCAGACATTATGATGTTGCCTCCACACAAAGTCACATTTTGGAGCATATTGTGGCTGGTATGACTTCATATAGGGTTATATTTTCTCCTGATTTATTTCGGTGTGCGAAACTTTTTCACCCGCAATATTTTCATTGGTCGATAGCGTATCGAACACAGATGTTGGGCCAGGCGTCCAGTATCGGTTAACAAATAACGCCTGCTCTCTAACAGCGCTGCAGCAGCATAAGGCGATCTCAAATTTTTAATCCGTTACGGATTTACGAAAACTCGTCTGTCGGCCAACCAGTCACTTTCATACTTTGAAAGTGTGTTTTGAGACGTGAGTTGACTGCGTTTCGGTATTTTTTGGAGCCATACAGTAAGCATTATTCATCGTATTATAGCAATTAAAATTCGGTGAATAATTAGAGTGACAGGAGTTTGTAGGTGCGTGAACCCTCTATAGGTTTTTTTAGGAGAAGCCAGAGTTCTTGTTCTTTGACCCTGGAGTTTTCTAGAAGACGCTTATAGACGGTATATGGTGCAATAGTTTCATTTTGAGGTTACTCTCATTCTCCCCTTTATCTGTTGTTCTCGTCTTCTTGATGTCATTTTGTTGTACGGCTTTTCATCACCTTAGAGTATATTACTTTTCTCTAGATCGCAGTAGAGTCCTGGAGCTATCATTTTAAATGGATTTTAGTGACTAAAATTGTATTGTGTAGGATAAGTCGTGTCAGTAAATGAACTGAACTTTATCTTTGGTTGCTTCGTCATCGATAATGATATTGAAGAAGCTGGAGACGCCTATGGCAATATGGAATTTGCGATACATTCATTAGGTAAATAATAGAAGGTCGAAGATGGTTTTGGTAAGGTCGATGGGGAGTGTTCAAACAATGTTTTACCACTTCTGAATTTTCAATGGGAGCAATGTGCTGTTAATGAACAACTTTTGCTTGGATTCACACCAGACGCACTTTGTCAGTTATTTATATTTGATGTTTATATTCTGATTGCTGGTCATTCGAACAGATAAGGACAAGAAAAAAAACAGTTATGGAAACCAGCAAGCGTTTATCGTGCTGTTCCTCATAGGGATTTTTAGAGCTTTGTGATTGACTCTTTGATCTCCTAGATGGCTATGGAGGTAGCCCTCTTTGGCCAAACGAGACCGCAAGAGATTGATTCAAATAGCTATTGACGCATCCTTACTTAGTAGACAATGCAGTCTACAGAAAACACAGGTTGTCGATCCCGCTATTTCTTGTATTCGATTCATTTCTCATATCCATCGTCCATAAAGATCTCCAGACTTTTTGCTTTCGTGTTTGGTCGCTGTTTGAAGAATTTCGTTTTTAACGTTTAGTTAACATGTCATCAAGTGCTAGTTAAATCGGCTTTTCTTGCAATCCAGCGATAGACGTATTAATGCGTTCCCACGTGGATTGGAGGGAGTGGGTTCGTTCTGGGCAGGTTTGTTATTAGTTTTCCAATTCCCTAGACATGAGAGGCTTAGTGGACCCAATGCCGGGTCGAGCCAACGATTGCGTAGGTTAGGCTTCTGCATAATGGATGGCTTCGTTACCACTGCGCCATCTGCCCCGTATTGGTTACATTGGTTGTAGTTATATTGGTGGTAAGGTAGCATTAGTAGTAATAATAGTGATAGTAGTACTGGTGGTATAAAAATAACAAATAATAATAATAGTAGTAATGTCGTATTATTATTATTGTCGTATGGATACATTTATTTATCTATTAATGGACAATTATATTTACTGATAAATAAGTAACCAGGATGTGGATAATATATGGCAATCTTTTATATGTTCTCAAGTCTGTTAGATATGAGCTTACGTGATGCATCGTCAGGTGGATGTGGATAAGGAATTAAAGGTGCACATAAAGCGATTACATACATTCCCTGAGAAGCAGGAGGATTCAGCAGGCGATTTGTTTAGCTGCGCTGCTACTCGAAGTTACTTTACCGCCAAAGATGGTGAAAATAAAGCAATTTGTACTAAGTGTGAGGTTTACCGTGTCTTTTGGGCAAAGGGACTACACTGAGCAGCTTGACAAGTAACTGGGCCAAGTGATAACATTATTGGTGCTGGTTCGAGTGACTTGATAGTTAACAGTAGTGCAGGTGGTGCAGGTAATAAATTAGGTACTAGAAACCAAATTTGGTTTTAATGTTGCCTGCAGAAAAGTTAAAAGTAGGAGTGAAACAAAAAAGCCAGCTACACCTCCACTTCTCGTAGCAGTAGTAGGGATACTTCATTCTTTCATTAAATTTAACGTATAAGAATTCTCTCCTACCAATGTCAGTTTATAGGTACTGCTGCCGTCGTCTCATCAGCTACTTCTCATTTTAGGTTCCGCTAGTTAATGACACATGAATGTCATTGTTTTAGATGAATAGGTTATGACGAAACGTTCGCTATCTTTTACAATTAAACGGATTTTAAGAACCCACACAAAACGCAGAATTCGCAATTGTGGATTCTGCCTGTCTTGACGGGTGTTCTCGTTATCCATCGCTGCCTGATTGAAACGCCAAGATCCAGCCTGTGGAAAGGGAGATTGTTTTTTCAACCCTATTCACTGTCCGTTAGTTGTTTTCTTCTCCCAACGGCTTGCCGCGTCGTCGTAGCTGGGGGGTGTTCTTTGGTGTAGGGTTGCGATGTACAACAGGAGTTCATACACCCGCACCACAAGGCCACCCATAGTGAGGAATCCGACGTTTTCATCAGAAAGCCCAGCTAAAAGGCAATACCAGGATCCACCACCATCTTGGTACGAAACTAGTCGTATGGTGGCAAATCTCCATCTGATCCACAAGGGCGGCGGCTCCCTGTGGTGGTGACAACCTGGGGCAGACATCTGCTTGGCTGACCTCGGGACTTCAAGGATCCACAATGGCTAACCAGCAAGTCTCCGGAAAATCGACATTATGCTGGAGGCAGCACAACTAGTGAAAACGGGCCATCCATAAGTCCAAGTGTCCAAGTAGTCATTTTTTTAATACTATTATTGAAGAACAAGCTCAGTTGCCTCACCGTATTTCGGATAGGTCGAAAATCATCAGAAATTCTATACGGAAAGTTTCGTACAAGATGTGACATCAGAAGGCATTCTTCTCTCATCCACCACTGACTTCTGACTTGTATTACCATTGAACCGAAAGCGATCTGTGAAATTAGCGAACTGATTCACAAAAATATGAGTGACTGCATACCTAATTTGTAATGGCGTTAAGAAATGCCGTTATCACAGCATTTATAAGAACCAACGATAGTACCTCAAATTTTCTCCACTGCCCATACTTTTTAGACTTCTTTAGAGGGAAATAGTTTCCATAAAGGATGAGGGTTTTAAGTTTTTTGGGCATTATCGTTTCGAGTTGCTCAAAAAATGTATCCTCGTCAAATTGCTCCATGAAGAGGGACAATCTCGACAAACGCAATTTCCTAAGAAGAATTTGGTTTTATGAGCTTGTAAATAAAACTAGATCAGTACTTTTACCTCATAGAAAATTTGATCTTGTTTTCTTCTCTGACGGAAAACGAGAACATTGATGGCGGCATACTCATTTCGTCAAGATTTGATAGTTGAGCTTAAGCAGACAGCTCTTTCTGGATGAACAATGTACGAGTTTATAGGAAATTATCAACATATTAAGGTTTCGCTTCATGGTCTCACCCAACTTCTCCACATAATCAGCACCCAAATTCGTGTCGATTACGCATCCAATCGCATCAAAATGTCGCAGGTTGGTGAGGGTGAGAATGGTGTCCATAAGCGGTCGGGATAGTACGATGCCAGTAAGAACTACGTGACGCAGTGTAATTGGAAAGAGTGCCTAAACGGAAATTACCAATCCATAAGTACCAGTGCTAGTAATCGTCGTGCGTTTGGCCTTCTACTAATGTTATTGCGCTCCACTAATCTTATCGTAGTGAATCGCAAAACCGACTTTTTTTTAACCTATCGATAATTCATTGTTTTTGTACTGATCGTTTAAGTTAGTGAGACATGAAAAATGTGTAAGGGAACGCAAAAGTGGCACGCGAAAATTGCGGCGAGCATGAAAAGGTTAAAGACTTATTGGTTTTATTCAAGAGAACCTAGTCGTTCAATAGCTGGGTGTTACTATTTGGCAACCAACTAAAGATTCTTACTTGGCATGAAACTGAATCGAGCATTTGTCTCATGTTAAGTGGTTGATCCATTCGATGCAAAATATTGAGACTACGCAGTCGCTTCGGTAGGAATCCATTCCAGGAAACAGGGTATTGTCTGAAAACATAGTGGTGCATTATGGGACTGATGGCAATTCAGATGTTGAAGGTGCTTCAAAATATATTTGGGTGCAGGCAGCGCAGTTGATTAAGGCGCCCTACAGTGTTGCGTGTGGTCTTTTCTTCCACTCGTGTTCTATACTCATCAAACCATCCTACCTTCTGAGAGTGGTAAGCTGGTACTCGACTTGTCTGGGAGGATAAAAACGCTGGTTTTTTTTGACACATTAGCACGAAGCGTAATGGGATCGGATGCATTACACATCCCTTGGAGGTTGACCAACACCTAATGCTTTGTCCCTTTATCATTACAAATAATCTACATCACAGTTGGAATTTTGTGTCTAGTTATCCATTTCTTGTTTTATTTAAGGTCATATAGGTCATATAACATAGTGGTAGTAGTAATTTAGATAAAGACGTGGGTAACTTTTTTGGCGATATTTGTTCAAAGGTAACAGATTAGAGAAGTCGAAATTTAATGGTAAGCAAAGGAATTCGTTTCGATAGCCAAACGCTTAATAAGCTGTGGGATGTTTCGTAATGAACAGATCATGGTGTTTCGCTCATTTTTTTTCTAAGTACTCTTTCAAGGATTCTACGATTATTTGCCCTTCTACCTTATTCTACAAAACCATTTACTGGTATTCAGCTGTTTATCATATTTTACTTGGTTGAGGGAAGTTATAAGGTTGATGATCGGAATATGTGAGTGGTCTAAAACTGCAGTGATGCGATGCATATAGGAATTCTCAAGATGTAATGCGCTGTTACAGCTTTATTCTTCGTCACTCTACGCACTATTGTATCTGAAGTCTTAATTACTTGATACTTAAATGGCCCGTCCTCACTGGTTGTACGGGTCCCAGCATAATCTCCATTTTTCGGAGATTTGCTGGTTAAGCCATTATGGTTCCCTGGAGTCCCGAGCTCAGCCTGCCCGAAATCTGCCCCAGGTCTTCACCACCACGGGCAGTCGCAGCCCTTGTGGATCAGAGGGAGATTTACCACCAGGCGACTTTGATAACAGAACGGTGGTGGATCCTGGTATTGCTTTACTCTTAGCTAGGCTTCCTGATGGAAACGCCGGTCTCCTTCTCAGCTTGGGAGACCCTGCCAGGAGATGAATGCCACGCTGGACATCGCAGCCGGCACCCAGGAACACATCCCAGCCACGATGAGGCGGTAAACCGTTGGGAGTGTATCTAAAGTAACCGTAGGATATTACGCCAGTTATTTTCTGTAAACGTGCTGTTTGCTGTACTATGTCTTCAGTGCTTTGGTTTGCTTCATGTCTCATATTTTTCTCGATTTTGTTTTAGTGTCACTACTGCTATAGGTAGAACTGAAGGCATACTTGTCGAAGTTTTCGCTGGAGATATACAGTTCTTCCATAGTATTTGAATGTTTCTTAAGTTCTTCAATATGTTCCTGTCGTAATCGTGTCTGAATCCACACATGACGAGTGTGTGGGCAGAGACCGAATGATTTATCCAAGGTATGCCGAAGATCCTAAGCATTTTTTTCATTTAAAGGGGTTATAGCATTTTCTTACGAAATAATAGTGGTTCGTCTCTAGATCCATAAAAGATTTTAGCGTTATACTTCTTTTCTTAAGTAAGCTATTGTATCGGTTACAAAGTAACTATGGAGAGTTAGATAAGTGTTGGGCAAAAGTATGGTGAATGAAATGAAATGCGGATAATTTTGAGAACGTGGGTACCGCAGTGTTGATAGTGTTGTTCAACAACCACAAGGCTCTCGTTCGAACCAGCGCCAGGTGAACTAAGACTGCTACCCCTTAGTGGTCGGTGTTTTGGAACCAAACCTTTGTGGAAGCGCCCTACCACGAGTATTCTGGGATTACAAGCACAGTCAACCTGATCATCATTCGACGATATTCATAAAAAAGGTCGAAATCCTCAAGTGTCCTTCGAACGTATTTGTGATTCCAAAGACCTGTATGAATGGTGGATACGGTATAACGAGTTGAATGGAAGAAGTAATGGGGTCAGCGCAATGCCTATGCGAAGACGAGTCAGCTTGTAAAACTAAAGCATTTTCACCGCAGCGTCCTCTTCACTCATTCAATTGGTTGTAGGGAAACTATATCACAGTTAGAGATGGATGACGCAGACATTTTTCAAATACGCTACGACATTTTCTCGAAAAACACTTACTAGGTCCCTTCCGATATCGATTTTATGACGAAACACTTCACCTGCCATCAAAACTTTGGTATCGCCGAGTAGCAAGCTGTGCACATCTTCCCACCTAAAAGTTAAGCCGGTTCATTCACTGACTGTCTAGACAACTGGAGCTTCTTGTTACGAACGCTATAAAGTGTTGAGGTAAAATCAGTAACGAATTCTTTGCGCCACTGTAAACAGATTGGACTAAGAACGTCACATTGGGACCCACGGATTAGAATGGAACGAACAGGGTGAACGGCTGTTTAAGTTTATCATGACGACGACCTACTCTTGCACGCGACAGGAAGATTTACTGGAAAAAATGGAAGATTTACTGGCGCCCGCTCAAGTCGCTCGACGGTCAACGGGACTACAGGTGATAGTGTAAGCAGTCACTGGGACACGGAGACACATGCCTACAATGCTGGGTAAGAGCAATGCAGTAGGTGAGAAGCACTAGATCGGAATAAAATCGGTTTACTATTGCATATTGCTCATCATCCAGATAAGTACATTCTTTAAAAGGTTCACCTAAGGATATGCGGAGGTCGAATTCATGACAGTTGAACTATGCATTACCACTGTCATGGTGATGGCTGACTGAAGCAAAATGCTAAGCATTTGTGAAAGCCGTCACTTCAACGAAGTCCATTTTGTCCTTTAAGAAGACTTCACATGGAAAGATTTTAAATGATAACTTCTATCGTAGTCATCCTAATTTCAGTCAACATCTGACCCATCTTATTCCTTCGCCCATTGTTTGCCAGTCTTTCTCGATAGTATTTCAGTTTTTGAGTCAAAATATATCCTTTCTCATTCTTCCATCCCTTATAGGGTCAATCTTCTCCACTGTGTTTTGGTGAAAATCTGTTGTTTCTTAATTTCTAATTTCTTAACCGTTGCTACTCCATTCCTCTCCGTTGCCATTATTTCTGGTTTTATCAGTCGTTATTGGTCTTCCGCATGGTCACGTCAGTATTGTAATCAAGGTATTTTGTGAATAATCCGTTCAATCACTTTCTGTACCATCTTCACGATGAAGCTCTTCTCCATGAATTTTGTTCAGGTACTTTGATACTTCGGTAGCCTCTTTTCACCAGATGTACACATCCCCTCCCATCCATTCTTTTATTTTCATTGCATGTTTCGTTCATAGCAACGTCTTTGCTTACTATCCTATGGTTCCCATTTTCAGCTGCTAATGCAACTTTAATCTTTATTTCCTCTCTATTTAAAATGTAAAACAGTATTTTGAAGGTAGGAGCTGGGTAGTTCGGCTTGTTGTAGGTACTATGTTTACTGCACTGTACTACTGCACTGTACTGCAGTGTACTGTATGGCACTGTACCCTGCTGTACTGTACTATTGTATGTATGTGTATATGTATTTATGTATATACTGCACATCTCACAAGATATCTTTCAAGCACTCTGTAGCTGGATGCGATTCTCGACATAACTGAGTTATTAGCTCACTCTTCAACGCAGAGAATGTGCTAGGATGAGTGTTTAGTTACAAAGGCAAACTGGTAACTTCTTCTTCTGCCTAATCTCTCATTTGCGTGGTTGTGCTCGTTAAATGAACGACGTACGTAGATAGGTAGGTACAATGTGAGCTTCGCAACCATAAATAAAACTATTTTCGTAACCATTCTTCATGTTTTCGTTTTTTCCTTCGATTGATTTGCAGTCCTAACTGTTTTACAGCTTTGTTGAACTCTTCGAGTATCTTTGAGTCTCTTCTTCATTAGTGTGGTTCAAAAGAAACGACTTAGTAAATAAAGCGAAGTTTTGGTAAAATTTTGCAATCAATGCGTATGCCGTTCTGGGTTGGTCCCAGTCGAGTGCTTTATTACTATCCTCTCCATGGCGGCGGTCAACAAGTTTAGCGAGATGCTTTGTCACCTCGTTGGACTCCTTGTGAAACGGAGATGGCAAAGATTTAGTGGAAAAGGTGTATTTTCGTGATGCAGCATTCCAGTGGTTTACCGCGTCATTATGGCTGGGAGGTGTTCCTCGGTGTCAGGCTGCGCTGTGCAGTGGGGGATTCATCCCCCAGCAGGGTCCCCCAAGCTGAGGAGTTCGGGGTTTCAACTAGGAAGCCCCTTTAAGAGTAAATCAATACCAGGATCCACCACCGTGCTGGTACCAAACTGGTCGCATGGTTACAGATCTCCCTCTAATCCACAAGGGTGACGACTGCTTATGATGGTGACGACCTGTGGCAGGCTTTGGCTATTCTGATTTCGGGACTGCAGGAAAACATGATGGCTAAACCAGCAAAAATCCGAAAAAAAAGTGGAAGTAATGCTGGGGCCCGCACAACCAGTTAAGACGGGCCATCCAAGTATCCAAGCAAGTGAGTTTTTCAGGATTATTATACAAGATAGTTATATAGGATAGATCCACTTCTTAGTCACTGAGCGATAATAGGGCTACATTGGTTGGAGGGTTTCAAGTACTTTTCCATTGTTAAGTTGTTAAGTTAGGAGAGATGGCTTTCCTAACAGATTTCGGTAACTTCAACCACACAGTAATCTCTAAAACCGACTTCGTGTTAACCTCAACATTGATCAATAAGCTGATAATGTTTAACGTTTTGTTTTCTGCCTTCTATAATTTTCATGGCAGGTTACTAAGCGAAATACAACCACAACGTTGCTGAGATATTTGCAAAACTCTGGACCGCAGGTGTCTATGGTGGGGAACGAACGCGCTATTATCCTTTCCGGGGAGTAACGCGTTCACCACCACACCATGCGGGTCCTTTGTTTCGCACGTCTCTCAGCTAATAAGCTGATACTTTCTTTTGGAGCAGACATGAGGTTGAAAAAAGATTCACTCAACGACGGCTAGCGTTTCGGCTGCCTCAGAGTCTGGAATGGTCGATGTGATACGTAGTCTACTTAGCAAAACACACCAAAGCAGAGAAAAAAAAACGAAATCTGAATTTCAATTGATTGGGAACAGATTTTGAGAAAGAGTTGGTCTTGGAACTTGCAGCAGGCTTTGAAATAAACGTAGCTATCCTCCACAGGAATCTAGAACTGTAGCACAGGAAGGTCTTCAGGCGTTTTTTTTGGGGTGAATTCCAATAATCCAAAAGGGAACCACAGGTGGAAGTGCTTCTTGTTATCATTCGTGACCTCGCCATGTACCTCATACCTTTTCTGATCTGATAGAGGCGCATTCCTCACCCAAGTAAACTCCGTCCGGCCGGTCTCTATCAATAAGTGAGGAGGATTATCAGGAACAAAGCGTTGTGTGTTTGAAAGAAGCTATTTCTAGTGCACTTGAAATTTGTGCTTCGAGTTTCATCCGGTGCTGCTATGAAAGTGTTTGGCTGAGTGCATTGCGTATCCATTTCACATTTCCAGTCTGTGCGGAAGGTGGAACCGCCGAAATGTTAGCCACTGTTGAATAAATGTAGCGTTAACAATTTCGGATCTGCGCAAAAAGAAACCACTAACTGCAATCAGATGAGAAACAGAGGATTTTAGTAGGAATTCTGCATCGTCAACTACTAGAGCTCCTTCCAAAGTGCTAAAGACGGGCAGCACAAGTTTCCAGGAAGAATGTTGTATTTACTTGTTAGTACCACTGGGACGAGCACAAAATCCTGTAGTAACGGTTCTGGTAGGGCAGATCCTTCCGCTTATCACCAAAGAGCTTCATATATCATGCATGTCGTTCATGCCGAAAAAGGTTGACGTTCATCACAATACATAATCACAGTATATTCTAATCGAGTGTGTCAACGTTCAATTTTCTGTTATTCTAAGTGAGTTTAATCGAACATACCTTGTTAGTTCGTTGCATACTCCGGTGCTGGTTTGAGCTAGATTAAGCCGTCCAGCTGGACTCATGTACTCACAAACCAAATGTAAAGCATCCAGTGACATTCTAAACTACTTTCGCTGTTTACCAATTTGAGGAAATCTTACTCTATCAAAAATGAGTAACATCACACATATGTACGTTAAGTAGCTGATGTTAACACACCTCTCTGGAAAAGTGGACGAAAAAATGAGACTGTATCCATCGATTCATGAGTTCATTATCTTTTATATAGCTTTATCTCTTATCTTTTCAGTCGGTTCTCCATCTTATCTCACAATTTTCATTCCTAGATGTCGCGGTGTTTTTCCTGTTCAACTTTCGATGATAGCGTTTCCGACTTGTCTAAGCGAGTATAGGGATTTCACGAAAGCCTGAACAGTATTTCCTTCTTAACACTTTCAACACGACTCCTAATTTTTACGACGCTCACTATGACTTATATCTGATCCAAACTACTCGAACTTCTTAAGTGGAGATGCCATATTGCTCTCTTCATTTGCGACAGTCCTCTTTGAAATTTACTTTCTGCACAAAAAGGCAACAAGTCATCGCTAGAGTCATTTATTATTTGTGCAACAGAGAAATTATAAAACCTTCTTTATCAGCAGCTGTCGCTGTGTTAACTATTAAGCTCAACGAGCTAAGCGCATATAACCAAAATCGTCCAAATAACCTTTTTTTATTGTAAGTTTTCCCCTCGTACATCAGGTATGCTGGAGGAACTATGGGTTCAATACAGAGAAACTAGCGTAAAATGGTGTTTGTTCTCCCGGTGTACTTTATTACACTCAATCGATAGCTGATCCTACACAGATGATACTAATGGAAAATGTTGTCACATCGCTTAACACTACTTAGAAAACTGACTTTGCTTTAACCACAACATGACAAATCAACTTTTTTGAGTGAGTAAGCTAACAACAGATTGTTATAAAAACTTTTGTTTGGCTGACGCTTCGACGTATCTGTCTTCTTGAGAGCTAGATTGATCCGAGTCCTGAATTATTGAGCTAAAGCTGATATGGACCACAGACTCGGATCTGAAGAGGACGAAGGCGCCCAAGGATTAGCAGAATCAAAGTTTTCATGATAACCTCGTATTAGCCTAGTCACTTAAAAACGTCGGTCCAAGGAATCGCTATCTAAAAAATTACTAATTGATCATGCCTAGATTAAAGGAAAGTGCGATTCTGAAGTATTGTTAAGCTATGTGACAGCCAATAATGATACTGACTACTGAAAGACGCATTGCCGGCAAAAAAGCAGATCAGATGGCATAGCCGCAATAGACTATCTGTCCCGCATAAGAGGGCAGTGCCGGCTGAGACCTCTCACTCCAGCGGCGCCCCACTCCACCAGACTCAATGCGACAACGAACATTCTTATCGCGAGCACAACCCATCTGTGGACCACCGACTCTTATCAAGCCGGTTCTGAAGAGGACGAAGACGTCAAAACTTTGGCCCAATAAAGCTCTTTATAACTACCTCGTATAAGCTTAGTCATCCGGAAATTTCGAGACCGACCGTCATTTCACCTCAGTAGTAAAGTATTGATCTGGGAACGTCCTAGTACGGCTATTCATGGATTTCAGGTAGAATTTACTTGATCAGCATTCAGCCACATTCATAAAGAAGACAATCGTAAAGCGGCAGCCGAACCCACACGCTAATTCGCAGATTTTCATGGAGTATGGACGCGAGAAAACGAATCGAATGCGAGGATTTATACATGTTATGTCGAGTCCTGGTTACTTAATTACTTGGACGGCTCGTCCTCACTGGTTGTGCGGTTCAGCATAATCGCCATTTCTCGAAGTTTTGCTGCCTTAGCCATGGTGGGTCCCTGGAGTTCCGGGGTCAGTCTGACCAAAGTCTGCCCCAGGTCGTTACCACTACAGATAATCGCAGCCCTTGTGGATCAGAGGAAGATTTGCGACCATGTGACTACTTTGGTACCAGGGCGGTGGTCGATCCTGGTATTGGTATTAGTTTACTCTTAGCTAGGCTTCCTGATGGAAACGTCGGACTCCTCAATTTGCGAGGCCTTGCCGAGAGGATGAATCCCCCAGCTGTTCATCGCAGCCAGACACACAGGAACACTTCCCAGCCACAATTAGGCGGTAAACCATCGGGAGGATGTCGAGTCTAGTGAAATAAAATGAAAAGTGTTCGATATAGAGACTATTCTCTGTTTCGCAGGGAATATCCTACATTTCTATTTCCTTATGTACTTTAGGTATAAACTGTACTAATTGATTTGATGCATCCACATCTGGAAACCTGTAAACCATGCTTACTTTCTCTGATACAATCTCCTTTATACTGACTGTGAAAACACTCCGCATCGCGCAAGGAACAGTTGGCTGGGAAACGCGCAGTAACTTCTTTCACTAGGCAGCTTTTGTGTCACATGATGCCCTCCCACTTAGACGTTTGAATGACCCTTCCTCGAGAGTATTTCCATTCGCTTCTATCTCATGTGGTCAATTTTTATGATTATGGTCTTCTGCGGGGACGTGAGCGATAAACAGTCGTAATACCAATGTTTAACTTTCTATTTACTGCCTATTTTTTCATGGCAAGGTATTATGTGAAATACGACCACAGTGATGCTGAGACATTTGCAAAACTCGGACCCTCCGCAAGATTCGAACTTGCGATTACCCTTTATGGGGCTCACATGTTACCCAGTGAACCACCGAGACCCTTGCTTTGCTTTTTTCTCGGCCAATTTTTTACCCTGACGCAGACAATAATCACACGACCTCCAAAATGGTAATCGCGAGTTCGATGCTGAGTTCTGCAGATATCCCAGTATCGTTGTGGTTCCAATACGTAATCCATTGATGAGGGCCGTTCCGAGGCAGCAGGTACTCTACTGTAAGTTGCGGACCAATTTCTCTACCTGTCGACAAGTCGACCAATATACATTATCTAGTAGAAAATAATATCCTCTATAGTAACTTTATTCTATATATCTTCTGGTAGTGATTGACGTCTAGCCAGATGTGACGCAAGGAATTATCTGCAACGACGACAACAACGATAGCGGGTCACCCAACTATAATCAGCATCTATCAGCACAATAAGAGCGGTCACCAACGATAAACAGCATCTGCCCACAATTTGAGGATGTCAAGAATAAAGGATACGTTGGTATAAACAATATCATATCCTTTCAATACCAGATGGAACACAATATTGTTTATGCATTTGCCACCATAATTGTAATATACGAGGACGACGCAAGGGTCAACAACAGTACCCGTCTGCCCGCCCCCTGAGGCAGTATAAAAGGACCGCGGTCTGCTGGTGAGGCCCACATGTCGGATTTCCTCCCACTCGCCATCTCAGTTCCCGCCACATACCGTCTTCGTCCACCTCTTGGCATAGAATTGTGCTACCGTACTTTATTGTAGGAAAACCTCTCAGACAGGCACTAATCTTCCCTAGTATACATACTTATCATGACATTGTACCTGTAAGAGTTAAGCAATGTTCTGTAGTTTTGTTGTATGATAACACCTCACTGGCTTAAGCATTGTCTTTTCTCTTCACATTCCTCACTACTAGTACGGTAGCTAATTACGGTATGCCATTCGCGCTAACAACCATCTGGTCCCATTGGTACCCACGCTACCATATGCTCTTCACCTCTATAGGTCAAATTGTACTTTTATATGAAAGCTCTCTCTCTCATATTAACACAATAGCCAATATAACTACTCTCCTACTTTAAGGTATCTTTTTACTGATTGTCTTACGCTTCTTTGGTAATCCTGTTATTAACGCGCCACTTATACTGTTTTTTAGTATCTTCTTTTTGTTATTATTATAATATTGGTATAAACGGTTTAATTACCCAAGTTTGAGATTTACGCTGTGAAGACAACAACCACAAGACCCGCGTGGCGAAGAACGAGCAAATACAATTCGTCCAAGCTAGCAGATCAACACCGGGTGGAACTGCACTCAAAGGAGCAAGTCAACCGCCAAACTCTCACGTGGAACCCTAGTCAACCATCAAATAATAAGGATCACAAAACAGATCCACTTTCGAGAGTCAAGCAGAGACAACAACTAGCAGATAGTCCGTACGCTATCTAATATTTACTACAACCTAATATTCTCACCACTGAACTACTACTAAGTAGTGAGCGGCTCAACGGTCACTACCACGCAAGTGCATCCATCGCAGCCGCCACTATACTACCATTAATACTTTACTTTTTTTCTTTTCACAATGTTATTTATGGCAAGTTTACATCTCAGCGCTGTGACTACCTGTGACTGGGAAGACCTGGGGCAGACCTAGCCCAGGCTCACTTCTGGACTACGGGACCACAATGGTTAAACCAGCAGAACTCGAAGAATGGCGAATGTGCTTAGATCAACATCGAAACCATCAACGAAACACCTATCCCGGGATGGCAAAAAGATTGCTTCATCCTTTTAGTATCGTTGAAGATCAACATGGAATTTTTCACTGCAAAGGACGCTTAAATAAAGCAAACATTCCTTTCGAAGAACGACAACCAATACTCATACAAGCAAAAACAAGATTAGTCGAAATTATAGTAAGCGACGCACATTTACCATTTCACTGTAGCACCAGTCGAACAATGGCAAATATTATAAAACGATTCTGGATCGCAACATTACGACGCCTGTCAAGGAAAGCAATAAGGCGATGCGTTGCATGTCAAGAGATGAACAACTTGCCTTATAAGTACCCAACAATGGACGACCTACCACAGAGAAGAGTGGTAAGATCACGACCATTCGAACATGTTGGGATAGATTACTTTGGGCCATTGTCAATGAAAAGTGCAGAAGATGTAGTGAAAGGCTATGGAATTATTCTTGCGTGTACAGCAACAAGGCTGCTACATCTAGGACTAGTTCAAAACATGACAGTTGACGAACTCCTATTAGCACTTCGTCGAATCTTTGCTAGATGGGGTGTACCAAATATGATCAATCACTTCCGATAACGCACCGAACTTCACTTTAGCGGAACGAATCTTACGGACTGCTATTGCTCCAATAACCAATGATAC